AATGATGAATTAGGTGGAAATATAGTCAAAAAGTTATTTGTTTGATATGTGTTATTCGTTTTGATCTAGTTGGTTTAGTTTTCTTAATATAATTGGTCAGATTCAAATTGGACCTTTGAACGTAGTGGGTAGTCAACGTGTTAAAAAATGTTTAACTCGAATAGTTGAAATATTTGCTGACTGTTCTTTAAAACATTCGATCTCTAATATTTTACGGATGTCAGTCTGAACACCAAATCTTAGCAAGGGAAGGGTTTTCTCTGGATAGAAGAAAATCTCTTATGTGAATTTTACAAGAAATTTCAAAAGTTTAGTTTTATTTCACATTAATTTTACTTGGAATTTCATTTAGTGAAAAAAAACATAAAGTAAAATTTTTAACAAAACTTTAAAGTTTCATACTATTGAGTACTTGATATAAAAGCTTCGGTACTAAACCTAATTTTCACGCGGATTTTTTCTAAGGCATGCCGAAATGATCATGATGTATCAAAACATAAGGATGTAAAAGAAATTCATTATCGATTATTTTTACAGGAAGATAATGAAATGTTCAATGCATACACAATGTATTACAATCGAAGGTCGTTTTCATTGTCACAATTATGTTTTTGTTTTGTTGTCTGTTACTATTTATATTTTTCCACTATATTTTGATAAGTGTGTCAGGAAATAGTATCATTGTCATTTATAATATATGAAATGAAAATATTAATGTAATTGGAACGTGCGTAAATTGATATAATGTAATTATGATGAGTAAAACTATTACGGGGTAGAAAATATTATTTCTTTGGTTTCCAAATGTAATGTGTCGCTGTCTTTTTTTATGTAATCTCATTAATCATGAAATTAACATATTTCTTAAGTGCTGCCGAAAATGAACTAAATTATTAGTCAATTGTAATCATTCAATGAAACCAAAAACAATATTAAAATATTTTACAAAATTCCTAAAACGCTATAAAAAAATTACTTTTATTTCTGTTTCAACAGTAGTGTACATAATTTGCTCATACTACACATGGATTCTTATTAGAGGGGCAAAATTTGAAACAAAGGCTCCTACAATATCATACGTCGGTCAATTTTGTGAATCGACACTAAATGCCTGTGCGATGTTCTCATTCCTTTTATTCGAATTTGGTCCATATTATGGTCGAGTGAAAACAATTTTTAAAAGAATATCAAATGTGGATAATAGGCTTGGTCTGATTGGAATGCTGACAAATAATTATCCTTCTGAGAGGTTTCTATATCTGACGAATCTTATGAATATTTTATTTGTATTGTCTGTGCTAATTGCTCACACAGTCGTTCAATGGATAGCCTTTGGAGTATGTGCTTTGATTTTTACGTTGCATAACTTAATGCCAATTTTTTTAAGCGTTTGGCTAATGATACAATACGGATATATACTTAATGTAATAAAGAGAAGATTTTTTATGATAAATACTGTTTTATGTAACATGACTGTAATTGAATACGAAGATAAACCAGAAAAAGGCACGAATGAAAATAGTTTCAAAATTTATAACTGTATTTACAAATTGTTGTTAGTGCATTGTGATTTGTGCGAAATTGTCGAATGCGGAAATCACACGTTTTCTTCGATTTTATTAATTTTATTCATTTATTTGCTGACGGTTATGTTATTCAGATTGTATACAAGCATACAAACATTTTGGGACGTTTTGATAGTTTATGATGGCGTATCATTAATGTTGGCTATTGTTACCTTAGCCAGGCAGTTGTTAGTGCATCCTTTTGTCATAATGTTAATACATTTTAGCGAACATATAAAGACATGTGTAAGTATCCTAAAAGTTCGATTGAAAATAATGATATTCAACATTCCAATGGCATTCAAAATAATGATATCGAAGAATAAAAATAGTTTTATGTAGTAGGGGAAATGGTATATATGGACAAAATGGCATAGTGGTCTTATTTTTTTTTTATTTGATCAAATTTAGATTAATTATTAATTTTTATTCACTTTTGTTTAAAACAGCATACTTATACAATGGACAAAATAGTACTACATATTACTCAAGAACTAGTGCTGCATGGCATCGTGCCTTAAGGCAAATTGCTGGAAGTTACCGTACCAAAAATTATTTTTTTTAAAAAGGATTCAATTTTATTTTAGAACACCGAAATAAATCGATTTTTTGAGATTTTTAAAATTTTTGAAAGAAAATGACTTTTTGGAAAAATTAGATTTTTTTTATACTTTGAAATATTATGGCAAATAACTTTTTTTAAAGCAATCGCAATACGTTAGCTGCGTAGAAACGAAATATCGAAGCACGTGTGCGCCGCGTCGCAGTATTACGGATAAACATTGATACGGAACCCATAGAAAAGTTATTTAAATCGGAAGGTCCGTTCTCTCAAAAAATCTATTACCATTTTTGGCACTTTTTGCCCCGTATCTTTGAAACGGCTCGACCTGTCTTTACCAAAAACTAATCAGCACGTCCCTTATCAATACGAATCAAATGTTTTTGTAATTATTCAAATCGGTTGAATCGTGTTCCCGAAATCGTCGACATAAATTTGCATCCGCACACACCACACACACTCGCACATACATCCATTTTTTTTAAGGTATTCCAAAATTTTCAGAACCTTTGAAACGTAATAATATATATAAAAATTATCATTATCGATTTTTTCGCGATTACTATAACTCACCTTACTAGTAATTCATTCGAGACCAAGAAAATTGAAACCTTTAAAAGGTGATTGGCTTTTAAATTTTACTCTAACTATTCCTGAAAACGGACTAACTAATTCATAGGTAAAAAGAAGAGACTTGCATGTTTTGGAAAGACTTTTTTCTCTTTCTGAGCCCGGCGAAGGTTAATTACGGTCATGTGCTGATGTCCCAAAGAAGACCTAATAATTTATTTATGTATGTCTTCATAAAAATTAGTATTTTTAACAAGACAGCACATACATATTAATACATATAGTACATGTATATTAGTATGTCCTTACCTTATATATCTTTCTGTCCGTACTATATGCGGAAAATGGTTTTTGTAATTTGTTGCATTTTCACTTAATAAATATATTAATATAGTTCCTACTTAATTAAAAGACTTTGTTACTGATAGTAAATTAATCTAAGATCAGTAAAAACGATTGAAACTGGTCAGAATATCATTAAGCAAATAAATATTGTTAAAAAGCAAAACATCATGTTATTTTGTCCATACTTCTCCTATACGTTTAAGTTTATATAAAAACAGATTTTATCAAGTGCGCTTCACTTATTCTTATACATATAGATTCTCTTTTACTGAAAAATAGTTTGTATACAAAAGTATTCATTTTTCTAATTTTAAATTCAACTTATACTTTCAGAAACAGGAAACAATTGATTTAGTTCATGATTTATATATGAAAAATAAACTACATATTTCAAGTGTTAGACTTCAAAATATATCATTGCAACTGCACGATAGAAATTCACATTTATCCCTTCATGGAATACTTTCAATAAGTTATGCGCAATGCTTTACAGTGAAGTATTATTGAATACAGTTTTTAATTGAATTTAATATAAAATATCTTATAATAAATATTGTTATTTTCAGATATGCGCTTGTTTATTATACTATGTAGTAATTATGTTACAATTAGGTGAGGATTCAATCATTGCAGCAAGAGATCGTTTAAATAATAACTATGTTTCACATTTTGCCTAATAAATAAATATAGAAGACTATATCTTGTTTTGTGTTATATGAACGTTTGATTTGTGTATTTTAATTTTATCAACCTCCCGAAGGAGAAGTTTATGTTATTATTTACTAAGTGATACTTCTCAATCTTGTCATTCTCATACTCACTTATTACAAATTTTAATATATATCTTAGTATTTAACAATTTAATATCTATTTAGAAAAATACATGATCGTGATATAGAACCGTTATTAACTATTTTTATTTGCGTGTTCCAATTTTTAATCTAGTTTTTTAGAGATTTAATTATTGTATGGAAAATCCATAGTCATCACTGATAATCTCAGAACATTAATTAAATTCAAACTGGTTCTATCTCCTTGTCATATGCTAATTGCTATATGGAATTGTGTAATATTGCGTGGACGTATTATCTGTTCGTTTGTCGCAAAATATTATTTCTGAACTAATTATGATAGAGATTTGAATGGGAATTTAAAAGCATGAATTATAATTCTCTTATAATTTCTTTTGTTGATACTCCTACATTTCTAATGCAATATGAAAGATTGCTAATAAGATGTTTTGAATTCTTTGTATATCATAGCCGATAAAAGCGGGAAAAGAATTTTCAACTAACTTATTAGGTTACGTTTCTAGTATTAAATTTCTGTAATTATTTTCAATTCACTTGTGCAGTCAATCTGTAAACAAAATTACTTGATATAGCAATCACAGTAATTAACCATTTCAAAACAAACTATTCCACATTCCAGAAGCAATTAATCTTTAAGATGAATATTCAAAAACCTAAATTTCAAATATGAAACAGGTTCTAATTTGTTAAAATTTCAGTCCGAAAGTAAAACTTTCTTATTTAGTTTTTTACAGAAAAACTATAAAAAGAATTATATGTCGGCGCAGAAACTTAGATTAGGTAAAAGGCAAACATCATAGATAAACAAGCATAAATTCAATTTCTGAACAAATCACAAGAGTTATACTGAAAAACATCAAATCGTTTGTTTAAAGTATAAAAAGTGAGACTCGAGCATTTCTAATATTGGTACAAAATCCAAAAATTTAGAAACTAATTATAAGAATTTTTTTAAATAAAATTTAGCGAATAAAAAGACTTCTAAAGCACAATTGTGAGGAAGTACTCGTTTGAATGTTAGAAGACAAGTCAACTTGTAATAATACAGTAGGTACAATCAGTGAGTAGAATCATATTATATTATATTTTCCGAAATCATTAACTTAAAATCGAAAAGTTACTTACTAATTAAAAAGATCTACTTACGGTGACATCTTGGCCCTTCATTGGAATAAGAATATGGTGAGCAAACTTTTTCAACAACGCTATCCGGCTTAGTTTTTTCGAAACATGTCCAAGCATCCCAAATTGCGGGGCAACTCGCGTCTTCAATACAACAGATTATGAAAAATAACGATTTTATTAATAAATGGCTTATGAATTTATATTTATGCTTAACTGCAACATTTTCATCAAGTATTTAGATATTTTTAATATATATAAATAAATTGGTAGTGTTCTAGGGCGGAACCATGAGCTGGGTTAAACTCCAACTCGATTTAGGGAAGAATAATGTGAGAGATTTCTCATTGCCAACTATTTTCAATTGGACTATTTTCAATTGGAAACATTTTTTTATCTATATTTTTAAATGAAAATTGATATTACTACTGCATGACATGAGGTTATCCAAAGCGAGGGTTCGAACTCACGCCCCTGTCTACACGAGGCGCTTAACTTGCGAATGAAATATCTATACGATACCTCAACATTTTCAATTACTACAAGTAAATGAATTACAAGCAGAACATTTCATTTGCAATTATTGTTGGTCACAGAGTATATACTTTTTGGTTATTACACAAGGTGGGCCATTTAAAGTGGAAGCGTTTGTTTCTGAAAAAATATATGAAAATAACATTATTATTTATTCATTTAAAATAGCTGTAACATATCTCCTTGGCCTAAAATAATTTACAATCGAATTGTAAATAAAAAATGATGTTTTTTTTACATATATTTTTTTCAGGAGCAAATGATTCACCCTATGTAACGTCTTTAATACATTATAGTTACGGATCTCTGAAACTGAAACCTTCAGATTAAAATTAAATGATTAGCATATTATGATAAATAATATATTACCAGGTATAATATTTGTTTTATACATAATATCCTTGCAGCATATAAAGCCATCTTCACAGCAGTTCCACCATTTGTTGTAAAAACTATCTTTTGAGAAGGACAGTCTGATTGCTTTTTGTACTTCTAAATCATTTTGGTCGAATCTCAATATTTTATTTTCTTTTGTCTAAATTTTATAATATATTATTTTTAATAACTATTAATATGAAATACAATTTTCTTATATAATAATCATTGGTTGTTATCATAATTATCTTTGAAGTGTCATGTTAAACAAATTTTGTGTCAAATCAAAATTATTTCTTAAGTTCAATCAAGAAAGCATTTTTAAATATAAGTTAGTGAATGTTTTTACCTGAAACACTGGATACTTGTACTTTTTATTATTAATAGTAGCTGTAGCAGTTTTTATTTTATATATGCCAACATCAGCTGAAAAAGCTGCATTTATGTTGTAAATATAGCAGCCCATTGTACTCCACATTGAAAATATGATGGGAGGTGACCATTCTTGATCGCGATACACGCATCTTGCTTCCTAAATCAATATTTCATTACCATTGATTAATTCCGTTCAATCAATTGCATATTAATAATATGTTTCTGTTAAACAGTTTTCTTTACCAAAATTACAAATTTTGATTAAAATATTCCCAAAAATATCTAAAATTTGTATCATGAAAAACTATTTACCAAAATAGTAGTTTTCAAGTTTACTTTTAATTTGTTCCTATAACTGCATGATGAAATTAATAATGGAAGATGTACTGAAACTGTTTGATTAGCAATCGCAGTATGAAGAGATCAATTAATTCTTGTAATTTTATAAAATATTTTTAAGATATCAAAAAAATATAAAATTCGAGAAAAATAGACTCAAAAAGTATTTGATTTATGCAAATAAAGTTATCATATTCTTTATGTTTAAAAAATTGCATATTTTTTCTCTGAGCAATGAATTGTAGCTTTTATATTATGTATTCTGGAGGTTCGAAGGTTCTCCGGGAAATTTAAATTTACCTAGTAATTTAGATTACATAAACAGAATCAGATTATTCTGTAGAATTCAGAAGATATTTGTCTATCAGTTACAATAAAGAGGCGAAATTAAGGGAGAAATACGTACATAATGGCATGATATTTTGTATTTTTCATGATATTCATATATTTAATGATATTTTAATCGAACTCACTCGGTTTTACTCATCTTCGGTTCATTGAATACCAGTTGCAAAAAATTACTATTTTATAGTGTGAAATATTTTTTTATATTATAAACTTATGAAAATATAACAAAATAATGAGAGCTATCAGTCTTTCACTGAATCCTTATCATATTTTATATATGTTATATTTTACTAAATAATATTCTGTGAATCTCATTTAATATTGCACGAATCACACGTTAACGCTTTATTATTGATTGCAAAACGGCTTCTATTATTACATGACAATAATATTTATTGAAAACTGAATAAAGTATAAACAATGAAACAATCGATGATTGTCCTATTGTTCATATGTTTAGAGTGCTATATATTCGCATATACAAAACCATTCTTACAAACTTCTGCAAAAGTTGAATATTTGAACTGGCTACAATTATTAATAAACCATAAAAACTGCTAAAAAACATCCTGTAAGAGGATCAAAGAATGGTCACACCGTAATACTTAATAATAATAAAAATAATAATTAAATATTTTACATGAAATTGGTAATAAGATGTGTATTCTTATTAAATACGAACCATGAAACAACTTTGTATAAAGCTTAGTGGCGCGAATAAATAGCATATTTATACATAAAACTTATACTAGATTGTTATACTATTATAGATTTTTTGTAAATATTCAGATAAGTATCTCACAGGAGTTCTTCTACCGTGTCACTCAAAAATTTTTGAGATCCAAATTTAGTAGTAGCTTATACAGTTTTGCTAACTCGATCATAGAGCAAAACTGTAGATATTAAATGATAAAACTGTAAATCTACAGCTTTATCTTTTTATTATTTAATGATGGTAATGAATCGGATACATTTCACAGAGAGAATTAAAAACGAGAAAAATCATGTGATTACCGTTTATCATGCTTTTTTTGAAAATCAAGCGCTAAAAACTAATTTAAGTAAAATAAAATTAATTTTGTTTAAAAACTCATATAACAATTCTCAAGAAAATGTGACCAACTATTTTTAACAGCTCAATATTTTTTATTTATAACAGTCAAAACGTTGATGGTATTTTAAAAAAAATACAGTGGAAAAGTAATTATGCTTTCATATTTTTATTACATTCACCCCATAAATCGTAACCTAACAAAAAACGATTACAATACTTTAACAAGTATTTACTAGCTATAGGTTTTATAGGTTCGATATAGGTTTTTTCATCGAAGCATACGCGATATGTTGGATAATTGATTATTTATAATATTTATCATTTTATGTTATGGTATAAAGGTAGACTTGAGCATTAAATAAAAAATACAATAAATTAATTAACATCTGCAAAAAACTGCAGATTTCGAGACATTACTACAAAACTGAGATTATATCCAAAAAACTGTTGACTTAGAGATGACAACTCTGAGCTTATAAAACCCATTCCAATTACCATTCTATGTATCTATTTTAAAAAAATATTTATTTATAATGCATGTCTTTTTCTTCATAATGCCAAACTTTTTCTTGTGCATCTTGTTTTTTCAATTATTTTCATTTATCGCAATAGAAACAAATTTTGGAAATGTATAACACTCTAGTTAGGAAAATATGTATGTACTCAATTATATTTTATCATACTCTACCTAATGTAATAAAATATATTTGAATCTTGAATCTAATGCATATCTTTCTATTTTTGTATTTGGTGTGTCAATTTATGTAGCAAATCGGTAATATCAACTGAAAAATTAAATATTACCACAAATCCGAAAATTTCTAACGGCTCTGAAAACGGCTTCGTTTTCACGTTCATTTATGAGTATTTCAAATTTCAATTTTTTATTATGTAAATATATTTAATTGAATACGACGTAAAATTAAAACCTTCCAATTATTATTGGGTGATAATAATAATGACTGTAAATAAAGATAAATGCGATATATTATAAAATATTATTTGCACAAATGTATACAAACGGTGAATGTTATTTTTTATTCGTGAAAAGTATTATTATCAAACGCACGTCATTTTTATAAACGTACTTTGTTGCACTGATACGAAAAATATATCTCTTGATTCTTTCGAAATGTTAATAATGATGTGCTCATTTTATTTAATTGACTTTAAAACTGATTAAAAAATTAGCAACTTATTATCATAAATTTATTTAAGGAATTTTTCTAATTTGATAAAATAAACACATTATTTCAGAATTAACTGTAATTAGGTTCATATAATTACTTGTATAATGCGTTTACTAAATAACAAATAATTTATATTATCTAGTGCAATTATATATACCGTATTGTTATTATTAAATACGAAATTATATTACTTACTAATTCAGTTTCATTGAGTTGCTTAACTAATTTGTTGATATCATAATCATATCTTATGCAAATCACTATTTTTAAAAACACCGTGAAACACAATAATAGTTTAAATATAAGTACACTCTTCATATCTTAATATATTCACATCTAAATAGTAAAATTAGCATGTCATTGGAGAGGTCATTTTGCAAATATTAATATAATAATTTTCCATTGACAGGAAACCTTGTCACTTGAATATTTGACAACACATTGCATTATACTTTTACGTTTTAAACAATTCACAATAATTCCACATTAAATGCCACGGCACATTCCTATAGCGCTCGAATCAATTAACTCTCCGGTGCCAAAAATATGACAAATAATTTTGATAAACTGAGAAAAATAATTGATTAGAAATGATAATCGATGGTAAAATCATGACTTGGGAATTATCTATACCGACGCGCACGTCACATGTATTGTAATTTGTAAAGGTACATATTTTTGCGATAAAATGCGGGATTAATGTTCATATTTTATATCCATTATTATACTATTAGATGGACTACCGTTGGTAACGATGTATATCTATGTATTATAAAGATTATATCATATTTGATCCTCGATAGTACAGAGAGAAATTATTTCATAGAATTCTGAAAAGTTCTTGAAAACCAAAGAATTCATACAGTCTTCATTTTTTTATTTTCTGTCTGCCCATTTCACTATTTAAAAGAATGTATGGGAAGTTTATACTTTTCGATTATATTATTAACTTGTATAAACCATATTAACCTGTAAGTAACTATGTAAGTGTTAATAAATTAATTATTATGTATTTAAAATATAATGTATGGTTTATATAATAACAAAAAAATTACAGTAGTAGATACAATGTTGATATTATATATACGTTCTGCAGATATTCTAATTAGTACGTTATCATTAGTTTGCGATTTAACACCAAAATATTTTAAATAATACATTTTCTGTATTAGAAAATTTAAAAAATTGTACATAACTTGATAAATGATCATTTGTAATCCCTTTATCAAAATCAATTCACAGATTAAATTCGTAATCCCATTCCATGATTTAATTTTTAAATATAACTGGAGTCGAAAAATGCTTAAAAATATTTTATGAAATTTATTTACATTTACATTTCTACTGTATTTCTAAAATCTTTAGTTATTTTTTATAAGTTTTAATACTACGTTCAGATATCACTTATTTAATATCATCAAATAATTTTATGTTTATTATATAATCAAATCTATCCTTTATTCACTGCACTCCTATTGAAGTTCAATTCAAATTCTGAATTTGGTTGATTTTAATACCTTATGTCCAACTGAAGCAAAATAGTTTCTCTAAACAAAATAGATATTCAATGATTCTATTTTTGCCTGAACAAAATTAAACAAAGATTCTCGTTCAATTAGATAAAATTAGACATGTGTTAAAATCAAATTTCAACATAATACTGAATTGTGAACAAAACGTAGAAATGTAGTACATAAACGCTTAAAACTCTTCAATAATTAACTTCCCGTAGGGTAAGTTATAGTAATCGCAAAAAAATCGAAAATGAAAATTTTTATATATCTTTACGTTTCAAAACCTTCAGAACATTTAGGCATACCTTAGAAAAAATTGATGTATGTGTGTGTGTGAGCGGATACAGATTTTCGTCGACGATTTCGGGAACACGGAACAACAGATTTGAAGAATTTAAAAAAACATTCGATTCGTATTGATAAGGAGACGTGTTGCTAATTTTTGGCTTAGGTAGGCTTAGCCGTTTCAAAGATACGGGGCCAAAAAAAAACAGAAATGTTAATTCAGTTTTTGAGAAAGCGAAGCGTCCGATTTGAATAATTCAAAAAGCATTTTATTTATATTGACTAAACGAAGCACTGTTCAAATTTTTGGAAAGGCCTAGGGGTTATGGACTCTCAATAAAAATAAGTTTATAAAATTTGG